TTTCTGTATTTTCTATTGAAGCAACTTTCATACTTATTTTGGTACAGTATTATCTAAAAGGATGATACAAGGCAATAGACACTGTTTTTATTTAAATCTACTATGTGGTTTATAAACAATATAGGTGCCAGGACTGTGCCTTGATAAACCAAACTTTTTTTTTTTTGCCGAGATTGGACTTTATTTAATGTGCCGTTTGTTCGAAATCTGAATAACCAGTTCTCCACATTTTGTGCTGTATCTGCTAACCTCAGTTTATGAGATATCACTCCATGGTAAATGTTTTTGCATTTCATAAGCATTTTGGTGGCCTTGGGAAATCTTAGCGATTTTGTGATAATGATCAATGTATATCCATGTTGATTTGGGTTGTATAGGTAATAATAATAATAATAATAATAATAATAATAATAATAATAATAATAATAATAATAATAATAATAATAATAATAATAATAATAATAATAATAATAATATGTATCTTTATTTACTACAAGTACATGTACAAGGTATACAGTCCTAGCTGATATCAATGACATACTGTACTACTACATATATAGAAAGCCGCTTGGTATTTTTATTTTCTTTATAAATGTCAAATTCCAGGAAACAGGTACAGGTGCTGCATCTACCTGGATGGTGTTCCAGGTGTCAGTGCCTCAGTGGCCCAGTCCTTGACCAGGCCTCCCAGTGGATCAGAGCCTGAACAACCAGGTTGCTACTGCTGGCCGCACATAGTCCAATGTACAAACCACAGCCCAGTTGGTTGAGTACTGACTTTAGATATCTGTCCAGCTCCCTCTTGAAGGCAGCCAGTGGTCTATTGGTAATTTCCCTTAAGCCTAGTGGGAGGTTGTTGAACAGTCTTGGGCTCCAGACACTCACTGTGTTTTCTCTTAGTGTACTAATGGCCCCCACCTTTCATCAGGGTATGTTGCACTGCCTGTCCAGTGTTTTGCTTTCGTAAAGAGTGATTTGTATGTGCAGATTTGGGACTAGTCCCATTAGGATTTTCCAGGTGTAGATTATAACGCATCTCTCTCGCCTGCACTCCAGTGAGTACAGGTCAAGTGACTCCAGGAGTTCTCAGTAATTAAGGTGTTTGACAGAACTTATATGTGTAGTAAAGGTTCTCTGTACATTCTCTAGAACAGTGATTTCATACACTGGCACATTGTCGGTTTCTTTTCATAATTCTGAAGGATTTGTATTAATCAGCTTTATATTTTAAAGAGTCAGTAGACCTAGTGAAAAAATTATGTGGGTCTTCAGTTTTTATTACAGTGTTAACTGGATTACTGAACACTGATTCATACTACCTTTCATAATTTTGCTCATTTCGTAACTGGTGTATGAACCTCTGTTTTGTACAGGTCTAATATGAGAACAGTATTTTACTTGGACTTTTCACATGTTAAAATTTTTTTTAATCTTTTTCCTAATTCCTGAATGGCATTTTTTCCTTGTGTTTCTTCAGTCAGGTATGAGTGCTTTGGATTATATTCAATAGCAGCAACTATGTGGTGTAAATTAGAGTTTCTTTGTCTTGATATATGCGGTTTTTAAGAGCACATTGGAAACTTTTTTCTATAAAGTCTTCTACATTCTCTTTCTGTATTTGATCTCTGTAACAAAGCATATTTTAAACAGATCATGTATACCTCTGCATTTAGCTTTTCCATAACTTGTTAAGGGTTAAGACTTTCATGTTGTTTTCCCTGGAAATATTTGGTAGTTCACTGTTTATTTTATCCCAGTCAATTCTTGGATTGTTAAAATTAAATTACCCAAACACTTCTTCCCTTTGGCTATTTCTTCAGTTATCCACGCATGAATTTATGTTTGTTTGCACATCAGTGATCATAGTTTATATGTTTAATTTCTCATTGCTTGTGAATATTAAATCTAACATGATTTCATTTCTAGTGGTTCTCTTTTCTATTGGCCTAGCAAGCTCATACTGCTAAGTATGAGCTTGCTAGGCTAGATTAGAATATCTGGTACAAAGATACTATGTACCATCTTCCATTCTACATTTAGAAAGTTGAAATAGCCAAAGGAGATAATATCTGAAAATGGATTTCAAGATTTTCGAGGCAGATATTTATCTTCATCTGTGGTTTCCTCTGCCATTGTTAATGGTAGCTTGTACACAAAGATAATTACCAGGTCATTGGTCTCTACTTTTATTACAAGCACTTTTACCATACCATCTGATGATTTTCACAGTTCTGTGGAACTAAGCAAATACAGATTTACTCCTTCAGCACCTTATTTATGCTATCATGTGTACACAAAGTATATTTTAGGATACAGACTTCATTGTCCAAGAAATCTGTAATGTGAGCTTCTGTAAAAGATCTAAATATCTCTTTATGTTTCTTTGAGAAGGCTATTTATGAAAGGAACTTTATTTTTCATTTTGGTGTTTAACCCTTTGAGAGTCGCCAGGCCCTCTCAGAGACTTGTTCTCAGAGTCGCCAAAATTTAAAAAAAAAAAAAATTAGTTTTTCTTACGAAAAGATAGAGAATCTTTTCCTGATCATAATGACGCCAAAAGTATGAAATCTGATGGAAAACTTACGGTATTATGCTCTCGTGAAGTTAGCGGTCTCGACGATGTTTGCGCATCGGCGATTTTGCCCACTTTGAGCCCTATTTTCGGCCAATTCCAGTGTACTAGTCAACAAAAATCATAACTATTTCGCTAGAACTCCGTTTTTTTCTATCGAATGAGTACAAGAAACCACCCATTTACCGATTTCAACTATCCAATAAAGTGGTCAGAATTTAGCAATTTTGCCAATTTCACACAAGTTCAAAACAAGAAAGACATTCCTGGCACTAAAACAACATTTCCTCTGCTCATTAGTCACATCTCCATGCCCCTCTTACATTTCTTTTGCTTTCCACTTTGAATTTTTATTCTCACAAAAAATTGAAGATTTACTGTTATGCAGACTACTGTATTAGTGTAGAAATGGTATAAATAATATCAGGGCACTTGTGAAAGGATATTAGATTCACCAGTTGACGTGTATTGGACGCATGGCATGATTTGTTTACTTTTGAACTATGGCAAAAATCGAACATTTCTGCTACTTTGAGCTCAATTTCAAGGAAATTTTCATTGTGAAACCAATCAAAATCATCTCAATTTCTGTAATATGTCTTCCATTCTATAAAATAAGACCAGGAAAACTAGAATACAACCATAAATACCATACGAAAATACAGTGCAAAGTCGCTGTTTTAAACCAAAAACACGGTCAAAGCTTTTTTTTTCTCATTACGCACTGTGTGCTGCAGGATTTTTTTTATACTGCGCACACTGACCACATAGACCCATTCTTTCATATGTAGGCCTACCAGCTTTCTCTTGCTAGATTTGAGGGCGCTAGAATTTATGCGTACTAGTACGTCAAAAACCCCGGCACGTAAGCCGTACAAGTACGTTGGAAACCCCGAAAGGGTTAATCCTTGTAAATTGGCCAAAAAGAAAAAAATATGATAATTTACTTAGGATACTTTGAATTAGGGATTTTGTTTCCTGATTTAGAAGCAGTGGTGAGTTTAATTCAACTGCCACTCACACTGAAGTGTCTGTTTTAAGTACTCTTGGTCTGTCTGGTATTGTTCCATCCTGATTTATATTTGCTACTTTAAGTACTCTTGCTCCAGAGGTGTTAGTGACAATTTGAGCCTGTGATCAGGGTTCATGAGGGGGTCCATTGGTCCAGGGCCCAGCTCTGAATCTCTGAGGGGTTTCATAGCCATAGACATTTTATTTTATTTTATTTTTTTTTTGTAATTTCAACTATTTTTAGCTTATTTAGAAAAATCATTTATGTAAAAATTATGTAAAACAGGGTGTCCTGTAGTTCGATCGCTAGCGCACTCAGCTCACACACTGATGTCCGGAGTGCGAATCTGGTAAAGCTGGAAAATATTAGGATGTGTTTCCATAAGATACCTGCTGTCCATGTTTGGCCATCAGTATAAAATGGGTACCTGGGTGTTAGTCGGCTGGTGTGGGTCGCATCCTGGGACAAAACTGATCTATTTTGCCAGAAATGCTCTGCATAACAAGCGGATGTTGACCCATTTTTTGAGCGTGGGTACGTATGCTTTCTTCTCATATCTACATGTTCCCTATGCACAATATTTACACATTTTTCTTATTTTCAATATTGAGATGTCTTGCCTATCATTTGTATGTTAACATACTGTAGTTCGTGATGCCCACATTTGTGAATTTTTTGTTAATTTTTTCATGACTCTTGACTTTAGGTTAGGACAAATGATTTTTGACACGGGTCATAGTCATGTGATGATCCGCCACTGGAACTTTGATCATCTGACCGAGGCCTTCCACTGGCTTACTGGTCCACCCCTTTAAAAATTATGGTTATAATTATAGCCATTTTGACTTTTGACTGTTTATTTACTCCTGCATGTTTCCTCTGGTTCCGGTATTTGAGTATCAAGTGGCAGCTACTCTATTTTTTCATCTTCTGTTTCTGCTTCTCCATTTCCTCTACTCTTATCTCTTATCTGTGGGGTAAAGGAGGTTTTGTGGGTGAGGGGCTTGGACTTCCAGCAATCATGTGTGAGCGTGTTAGATGGGAGTGAATGGAGATGAATGGTTTCTTGAACCTGATGAGCTGTTGGAGTGTGAGCAGGGTAATATTTAGTGAAGGGATTTAGGGAAACCAGTTAGCTGGACTTGAGTCCTGGAAATGGGAAATACAATGCCTGCACTTTAAGGGAGGGGTTTGGGATATTGGCAGTTTAGAGGGACTTCTAAACTGTCATATCCGAGCACCTCTGCAAAGACAGTGATTATGTGTGAGTGAGGTGAAAGTGTTGAATGATGATGAAAGTATTTTCTTTTAGAGGATTTTCTTTCTTTTTGGGTCACCCTGCCTCGGTGGGACATGGCCGACTTGTTGAATAAAAAATAATTAAAAATCAAGTCAATATATAGCATTTTGCATTACCTTAATTTTGCCTTTAAGTGCATTTATAGCTAGCGTGGAAGAGACTGCCACAGCGCTCTTCCTAATTACTGGAGTTTTCTTCGCCAGTGGTGGTTTAGGTGGCTGTGCTGACGACGCTGTGACTGTATTTAGCTGTGACTGTTTCTGTGGCTCTGTAAGTGCTGTGGAGGTGACCCGCACAGTAGACACCACCCCGGAGTGTCCCACCACATCTGAAATACAGGAGGATTATCAACTATTTTGCAGTACACAGATTAAGGCTGTAACACAACTGACATCATTCTTCCCTGCTGGCATCCTGTCTACCTTATACATATAAATTTTAGGAATGACATCACACATTATTTTCATGGGAAAGTGCTAAACTGTGAAATGGGAGGTAGTCAGGTTTGGTCAAAGGAGAGGGACAAGTGGAGGACACTGACCAAATGGTGGACATAAGCCAAATGGGAGACAAGTCAAATGGTGGACACTGACCAAGTGGGAGACAGGTCAAATGGTGGACACTGACCAAGTGGGAGACAGGTCAAATGGTGGACACTGGCCAAGTGGGAGACAGGTCAAATGATGGAAAGTGACCAAGTGGGGGACAAGTCAAATGGTGGACACTGACCAAGTGGGAGACAGGTCAAATGGTGGAAAGTGACCAAGTGGGGGACAAATCAAATGGTGGACACTGACCAAGTGGAAAACAGTGGCCAAGTGGAGGTGACTGACCTACATGAGTTAATTGGTTAAGTGGAGGGATGCCAGAGCAGCAGAATGAACTTGGGGTATTATAAAGGCTGAGATTAATCAGTATGTTTTTAAAAGCTATACAAAAGTATTGCCAGTTGTTTACATAGGACATAAAAAAGCAAAGTTGCCAGAGTGGGGAGCGCATAAAAAACACTAAGTTGATGAAGTTGGCATATTCATAATAGATGAGTGAGGATTCTCTCGTGCACTTAGTGCAGTTGTGGATGTGGTGGATTCCCTTCGTATCAACACAGATGGGAACACTGCTAATCTAACATAATATTATTATTATAATAAAAAAAAGTACAAGCCCATCTAACATAATAACAAAAATAGCCACTCAATCTGGCATTCACTGAGAGCAAGAGATGACTCTTACCTCCTCCTCCCTTCCTCAAGATGCAGTCAGAGCAGAACAATGCATGTCACTCAGTTGGTCTGGTCAGAAGCAATAACATTAACGCTATTTTAGACTCCCATTGTCCGACATAAACAGCACAATAAGCACAAGTCACTTTGCTTGTGTCTTGCTGAGGTGAGAACAGTTCAAGTCACTTTCGTTAGCCTCTGACAAGCTAAACAAGTCACTTTCCTTTGGATATACATAAAGTGGCTTTATTCACTTTTAATATATAAGGCCCACTGTTTTTATATTTCACTGATCATTAATAGGTAAAAACAGTTACAAATATTATTTAATATGTGGACAGTAACTTCAAAAACACCTTTCTAAAGTTTTGAAATGGTAGTAGTTGATTACACAGAGTAGATGTATCATAAGAACAGGAGGCTGAAGGGTATTCAAAGAGTTTGTGATACGAACATTATATGATCATATATGGAAAGTGTACATAATTCAAAAGTTGCTGAGGGCAATAGCCCTTGTGGAAAATTTTGGATTTTCCTAAATTCAGCATGTGTAAATTTGAATACAATAATTGCGTAATAAAATATGACGCTGATTTGACCCTTTCGAGAACTTCGAGTGAGGGGGGTGTTGAACAGTTGATGAGTGATGCTGGAAAGGAGATACCATTTGCAGTTTGTGGGCACTAGTTGTTGTGGAAAATTCAGCTAATAATCCAGCATCTTCATGGCCAAATTGGGTTTTTTCAGCCTGAATTTGCAATAGGAACTCATGTCAATGTCCCCTGCTAAAGAATTTGCAGGACCTGAAGATGGCAGAAGATAAGGGATACAACCATCACTCACAGTGAAGTGTGCCATTAGTCTTTTCATTTAGATCTCTAACTGGCCAGTGTAGTGTCTAGTTATCAGACAGGTGTTGTGGTGTTATCCATCTACAGAAATTAAATGGCAAGTAGTAATACGAATTCCTCTGACTGCTGGTGTCACCATGCTACCATACTCTGAACAATGTTACCTTATTTCTCCTGTTGCTGCTCTTGCAACATTGCAAAGCTCCTGATGACACACTGAGAAGTGTGAAAGTACTTGAGCTAAAGATTTCCACTCCCCCCCAGTGACTTGTCTTGTATATATATATACACCTACCATCCGACTTACGACCTGCTCGACATACGACGACTCGACTTACGACCGTGTTTTTTATGCCAAATTTTTGGGAAATATACAAGTGTTGGTGTTGTATACAGCAGTTATCCTAAACCTTACAGTATAAAATACAGTACTAACAGCATAAAAAGTAAAGTAAAACATGAAATACCAAAATTAAACAATAAAATAAAGTCATTACAAAAATGTTATGTTGATATTCAGTAGTAAAGTTCGACTTACGTCCATTTCAACTTACGACCGGTTTCTCGGAACCGAACTCGGTCGTAAGTCGGATGGTAGGTGTGTGTGTGTGTGTATATATATAATATATATACAGTGGACCCCCGCATAACAATGGCATCACATAGCGATTATTCCGCATACTGCTTACTTTAATCGCAAAATTTTTGCCGCGCATACCGATTAAAAACCCGCTCACCGATTTTCGTCCGAGACGCGTCCAATATGCGCCCTCAGCCAGCCTCACATGTGCCGCCCGTGCCATTGTTTACCAGCCAGCCTCCGCGGTAACATCCAAGCATACACTCGGAATATTTCGTATTATTACAGTGTTTTCGGTGCTGTTTCTGGAAAATAAGTGACCATGGGCCCCAAGAAAGCTTCTAGTGCCAACCGTACACCAATAAGGGTGAGAATTCCCATTGAAATGAAGAAAGAGATCATTGATAAGTATGAAAGTGGAGTGCGTATCGCCGACCTAGTCAAGTTGTACAAGAAACCCCAATCAACCATCGCTACTATTGTGGGCACCAGAAAGACAATCAAGGAAGCTGTTCTTGCCAAAGGTTTAACTGTGTTTCGAAACAAAGATCGCAAGTGAAGGAAGATGTTGAGAGACTCTTATTGGTGTGGATAAATGAAAAACAGCTAGCAGGAGATAGCGTCTCTCAAGCGATCATATGTGAAAAGGCTAGGAAGTTGCATGAGGATTTAATTAAAAAAATGCCTGCAACTAGTGATGATGTGAGTGAATTTAAGGCCAGCAAAGGTTGGTTTGAGAGATTTAAGAAGCGTAGTGGCATCCATAGTGTGATAAGGCATGGTGAGCTGCCAGTTCGGACCACAAAGCGGCTGAAAAATATGTGCAGGAATTCAAGGAGTACATAGACAGTGAAGGACTGAAACCTGAACAAGTGTTTAATTGTGATGAAACAGGCCTGTTCTGGAAGAAAATGCCAAGCAGGACCTACATTACTCAGGAGGAAAAGGCACTCCCAGGACATAAGCCTATGAAAGACAGGCTTACTCTTCTCATGTGTGCCAATGCTACTGGTGATTGCAAAGTGAAGCCTTTATTAGTGTATCACTCTGAAACTCCCAGAGCGTTCAGGCAAAAGAATGTCCTCAAGGATAATTTGTGTGTGCTGTGGAGGGCAAACAGTAAGGCATGGGTCACTAGGGAATTTTTCTATAACTGGTTACACCATGCATTTGCCCCCAATGTGAAAGATTACCTAACTGAAAAGAAATTAGAACTTAAGTGCGTCCTGGTGTTAGACAATGCCCCTGGTCATCCTACAGACGTGGCAGAGCGACTTTATGGGGACATGAGCTTCATTAAGGTGAAGTTTTTGCCTCCTAATACCACTCCTCTCCTGCAGCCCATGGACCAGCAGGTTATTTCCAACTTCAAGAAACTGTACACAAAAGCTCTGTTTGAAAGCTGCTTTGTAGTGACCTCAGAAACTCAACTGACTCTAAGAGAGTTTTGGAGAGATCACTTTAATATCCTCAATTGTGTAAACCTTATAGGTAAGGCTTGGGAGGGAGTGACTAAGAAGACCTTGAACTCTGCTTGGAAGAAACTGTGGCCAGAATGTGTAGACAAAAGGGATTTTGAAGGGTTTGAGGCTAACCCTGAGATGATTATGCCAGTTGAGGAATCCATTGTGGCATTGGGAAAGTCCTTGGGGGTTTGGGGGTTAGTGGGGAGGATGTGGAAGAGTTGGTGGAGGAGGACAATGAAGAACTAACCACTGATGAGCTGATAGATCAACTTCAAGAGCAAGAGGCCAGACCTGGGGAAACTGGTTCAGAGGAGGGGAGAGAGAAATTGAAGAAGTTGCCTACTACAAAGATTAAGGAAATCTGTGCAAAGTGGCTTGAAGTGCAAACCTTCATGGATGAAAATCACCCTCACACAGCTATTGCAAGCCGTGCTGGTGATTATTACACTGACAATGTTGTGAAACACTTTAGGCAAGTCATAAAAGGAACGAGAGGTACAGGCCACTATGGACAGATATCTTGTGCGAAAGAAGTCCAGTGACTCTGAAGCTGGCCCTAGTGGCATTAAAAGAAGAAGGGAAGTAACCCCAGAAAAGGACTTGCTACCTCAAGTCCTAATGGAAGGGGATTCCCCTTCTAAACACTAACACTCTCTCTCCCCTCCTCCCATCCCATCAATCATCACCAGATCTTCAATAAAAGTAAGTGTCATGTAAGTGTGCATGCCTTTTTTCAGTTTGTGTGTATTAAAATTAACATTTCATGTGGTAAAAATTTTTTTTTTTCATACTCTTGGGTGTCTTGCACGGATTAATTTTATTTCCATTATTTCTTATGGGGAAAATTCATTCACATAACGATTATTTCGCATAACAATTACCCCTCTTGCACGGATTAAAATCGTTAACCGGGGGTCCACTGTATATATATATAATATATATATATATATATATATATATATATATATATATATATATATATATATATATATATATATATATATATATATATATATAAATATATATATATAAATGCAATAAGATCACAGTAAACAGGTGATTTCAAAATATGCAAAACAACCACTCTGAAAGAATAGAGAAATTCCAAGCGCTTTCGTGACTACTCACATTAATGTGAGTAGTCACGAAAGCGCTTGGAATTTCTCTATTCTTTCAGAGTGGTTGTTTTGCATATATATATATATATA